CTGATTGGGGTATACTGCCATTGCCTAGTTACCTCCATTTCGCAAGGAATATAGCAGCTAACTAATCTGTATCAACAGATATCTCGTGAAGCGGCTCCTGTTGAGTGAGTGAGTAGTTTTATGCTCACCCCCGAGATATGTAGCAGTTGAGAAACTTGAGAAAATTCAATTATTCTACCAAGAAATTATGAAAGTGTTGAAAGGTGCGCCATTTTTATCAAACAAATAACCATATTATGAAAATAATTGCCATTCAAATCAGATATTACATATAAAATTCTGAATTTTCTGAATGCTGTGGTTCTCAGTTGGTGTGCATGTACAGTACAGCAGAACGCAAGAGATAAGGTTTTATGGAGGCGTATATTGTAACTGGCCGTTGTTTTAGTTAGCCTTGATAGTGATATTAATACCAGAACTGGTCACGTGTCGTCTACACCATTGCAGAGCAAATTTACAACGTAAAATGCTAAAAGTTCAAACCTTTCATCCAGACACTCTGAATATTTCTATTTTCCAAACAGACAGGGGAGTTGGGAATTGAGAGATGTATGCAGTGTGGGAAGTGTGTGTCATATACCAGCGACAGTCCTTGACAGGATGGCGCTTTCGTGTTCACGTGTTACACACGCTGATCGAACCTGGGGTTATTGACCATGTCACAAGTCGGTTATTTTGGTTTCAAAACATGCAGAGGATTTATTTGAGGAAGAAAAGCTAATAAAAAGCCGAAAAAGCCGAAAATATATACATATTAACATGTTTTTGAAAATGAAATTGACGGACAGCTGAAAATCAGAAATGGTAAAATATGCCAAGAGCGACGATAGACTTCAGCCCGTCACTTGCTATGGATGAAAGATTGCATTTGTTTTGACATCATTTATCGTCGTTAAATTATCTTTCAAATGTATTGCAATCACTATCACACTGCTTTGAATAATGAAAGGCATCCAATTTGACTTCATTGCACTGCAATAATTATTATAAAAGTAGTCGTGAAGGGTTTGTTTTCTCAGAATCGTAAAGACCGGATATTCATGTGGCACTGACGTTCTGTATTTGCTTAAACCTTTAACATTTTCTCAGGAAATGGTCTCTACTACTCAGTGATACAATGACACATTAATTACTCTTTGTATTCCCTAGCTTTGATCTTTCACTCATAACGACTACCTTGTATGAGTATTTATTCAAATGTGGCGTTGCCAGGTGGCTGCACTACCAGGATTGCATGTACACATGACATATTGTAGTACATTCCAGACTTGAAACACAGCCACGAAGCTATGCTCTGTACAGTACAAACGTATAGGACAATACCCGCGACGGTTCTTTCATTCGGTTTCCATGGATTCAGCATGTCATTTTAGTAATCACTGATTCGAATCGATAGTCTAAAAGCACGACGACTTAAGTGATTATCAGTTTCCATTCATGCACTTTTCCTCGTTGTTTTGCCTTTTACGGAATCAGGATCCTCGGATACACGAAATTTGATATTCTCTTGACTTTACACATCTATATCTGGCATGAGTTTCAGCATTGGGAATTAGAAGAGCGAGACCAAACCTAATAGTTGTTGTGTAACTTCTATTATCCGTACAATGGAAACATATATGGGAAGCCTATCTACTAGTTTAATTTTCAATTTTGTAAGCTGGAATACAAAATCTTTCCCCATTTCGAAGTAGAATATACAACCACTTCAAAAACAATAACGTCTCTTTATTATGTGTCATAATTTACGCTAACGCTTCAAGTGACAGGCCTTCAGATGCTTATAGTCAGTGGAGCTAACACCATCGCGTTTGCAAGGTTTGCTGCTGGTTTGTTTCATGCATGTCATCACAATTGATCGATGCTCATGGCGTCAATTACTTGTCTGGTCCAGACTTGATTAATAACTGGCTGCTTTCATACAGCTGGATTGTTGACGAGTGCGGCGTTCAACAACAAACAAACAAACGTTATCGGCGACTGAATGTCTTCTATGATTGGATGTACCTTGGGTGCGAGCCTTTGCACCCCGAGTGGATGGGTACAACACACCATACACCTCAAGGGATGGGCTGTAACGATGTTATCTTGCCGATCTCCCCGTTTATCTGAATTGTCTTCCTCCAGTTAGCTGGCTTCACGATTACCGTAACGACTAACAGTCGACCAAAACACACCGGAAGTTGTCGTCCTTGCACTACAATCGGATATACTCGGTTAATTTCGCTGAGCTGATTTATATAAGAGTTGTTTCCGGATGATAAACGCATAGTATCGTATCACCTTTGTTTCGAAGTTCGGTATTTTCCCGGGGGGTACATGAAATGCATAATAGCGGATTATACCGGAATATCTCGCTCATTCACTAGTCAATCGGAAATGTGTATCCAAATCTAATTGGAGATAAATCTTTAATGTTGAGATATTGTTCACCAATAACGTCAAGGTCAATAGTGTATGGTGCAGTGTTGCGTTTACATTAGGTTAATGTCATTCTACAGTAGAACTATACTGTTCCCTATACCTACCTTGGGGTATGGAACTGACACAGTCTGTGTTGGTATTTCATATGAGATACCCTTGGAATGATTGCAAAAGAGCTATTTATAGACAATCACACAAAGTGACCTTAAGTAATTTAAACATTAACCAGTAAGTTCTGAACGAAGATGTAGTATAGTCTGAAGCAGCGCCTTTTTTACTCAGCAACTGTATCCTGTCTATAAGTCCGCCTGTCAATCTTTGGTAAAAGGTTGCGTGCATATGTCAACGACACTGTTTGTTCTAACTTTTACCAGATATGTTTGCAAAACACAACAGTTCCGGATTTCATGTCTATTTCTAACACAATTTCCGAGTGACAGTGTTTTGGAATGATTTTCATAATTGTAAAATGTTAAAGCTAAACACGAATGTGAGTTGTCTTAACTAATCCTAAGTTCAACAAATTTGGGTAAACAAGTGAGATGAATTAAAAAATGTGGAGGATGATCGATTATCCTGGGCTGAAGATTAGCCCAATCATCATGAAATTCCTTCCTACGAGTCTGCCCACACGCCCTCTGAAGTATCCACGCAGAATAGGTCGCCGCTTTTTGTGACTTACACTTTGACTTTACTAAAATGGAGTTTGAGCTTTTGCAAATGTGCTCTGTTTTTCCGATGTAAATTTGTAACAGACGACAATGTTGTTAATTTAATTTTCGGTGGGGAGCAATAACCCGTACCACATATCCCGTCCCTAATTCCTCATAATTAAACAAGAGGCGTTGCAGACTCCAAAATGTGTTCTTAATGTCATGAATGTTTAAACCATTTTAAGGTTTCTCGAATGCCAGACAAAGCCGTGGAGATCTGTGTTGCGATCACAAAGCAACTGGACGGGACGGTACACGTTTGCTGGGTCAACAGTTGGTGTAGTGGTTGCCGGACAAGTATATTCCAATCCTTTGATTAATTCATATTGTCCTTCACCAATCGGACCGGTTTCTTAAACACCTTTATATTTACCAATAGATGTTATTTAAATGTCTGTTACAACCGGGTAATTGTTTCTCTTGACTGGACTCCCTGACCATTCCCCATCGTTAAAGGTCATATCATACAGATGCCCAGTTGCCTTTGCGTCATGTGGTGTATTAGATTCATCTTTTATACCGAGAGTTTCCGTCATCTGAGGTCTATTCAAGCCAAGACTTCCGTTGTGGCATAAATCAGTGAGATTACAGATTAAAACGTCATCTCTCTGCTCCGGTAATCTGTCACATAGTAACTCATAAACACAGTCTGATCGTACAATGATGTTCTTAGGATTATCAGAAGGGTTTGGTTGCCTACATCATCATATAACAAACAAACACACTCTAAGGTGTCGGCAGGACCATTGACCCAATGTCATTCTCTAGAATATACAGAGGTAATGTTTCGCGAATACCTAGTGTCATCGGGTTGAATATTTAACTTTCCTTTCTTTCATACAATACAATTTACAACATCTCCATACCATAAACATATCTTAATGAAGTAGTAAACATTTGAGGTGAGTCATCGTTCCCAGTGTTTAACCTCAGCTTAACAATTTGTGCAAACATCTCAATAAGTCAATCTAGCATATAATAAGGGACACTTAGGCTATAAGATTAGTGCAGACACTTACTCTGTATGACTATATTATACGTTCCACTGACTGTCCATGTGTACACAAAGCGGGTTCTACTCGTTATGAGGTGAGATGAGGTGCAACGGGATTTAACTACTCGTTAGGATGGGAGCGACATAAATGATACATCGTGGGATGTATGGTAGAACGATGTTCAGGGCGGTGGTCAAGTTGGTATTACCAGTCCTACTGTACTGCCTTTATCGATCTTCCTTTACTCGTTAGTAACAGGCCGTATAAAGTATATATATATATACCATATGAATAATTACACAAATGTCACATTCATAGTTATCCGTCACCTATCACAATTAGGTATTTAATACTGAGTTATGGAAACACGTTTCAATAATTACCATGAACACTCAATATATGTTTTGAAGAAAATGTTGATTCGATGAAACATGGTCATATCTTTTTTGTAATTTTAACATTAGTATGACATAATATTTCATATTATATTTCTATTTCATTAATAATCCTATGAAAAATATATTTTGTCTCATCCGTCCCACAAACTGCCGTCATTTTCATATATTTATTTAACTTCGAGCTTTTTGTGGGTGTGTCGTTTCATCAATGACACAACGACAGAAGTAGCACATGGGCCGTTTACATCTTCGATGGTTGTTTGGAAAACAAAACCATCACACCGGTAGCATTCATGGCTGTATTGCATGCGAATCACGGAATTGATACATAACCATTATTTTCTATTTCAGAAATAGTTCTGATATGAGATTTGTTCGTGTTATCAATCGTATAACATATCAAGAAAATAAGAGTATAAATCCTATATTGAATATATCAATTCATACAAGACCTGAAGTGTTCAACTTACGTTAAAGGCACCGATACATGAATATCCAAATCACACAGATGTTGTCTCCAGGGTGGTCTGGTGAAGACCAGCTCCTGATGCCTTTACTGATGCTTCCTGCTTCTCCGCGTGTCTGTCACAAAGCGAGGCGTAAACGCTATTTAATCTACTATCCTCCCCCTCTACCTGTCACGTGGTGTTGCCGTCGCCGTGCCTGTAGCATCAGCTCAGAACCGTCCACATCTCCAAACCTATAACCCTTTGCATTCCTGGAGCCGGAAACTGAGCTTCATCTTTCCACTAAAGCCAAACAACCAGCAAACAGTTTGAAACTGTGATAAATAGTGATAGCCCTGATGGTCAAACGCTAGTTAGTGGCCACGTCAACCTTTCATTGGGCACGCATCCACGAGAGCTGAATGCAGTGAAGAGCATGTTATCTTCACCGAATGACCAATCGATGTTTCAGAATGTAAATGTTAATGCTGGCGGAAGATGGCTTGGAGGATAAGCCGCACGAGCTTAGGGTGTCAAGAGACATAATTTTAATAATAATATATGACATGAGAAGCGAAAAATATTATTGTAAAAGAAAAAGATTTTGTTTAAAAAGCTATGTTTATGGGAAAAATTATAATGGCATTTAAACATCCTTGTCAGCAACTACAAAATCAATAGCATGCAGTGCCTACCTGTGATCCTAAGCCTATCGATGTTTATTTTACCGAACTGATAACTGTTGTCCACATCAACTTTCTTTTTATCCTGCAACAAATATGCTAGATGTATGATAGGCTATGTAGTCAGTAAAATATGTATAATGCTTGTGTCGCCTATTTACAAAGTGAACTTAAAAATGTTAAGACCTGTGTTTGAAATATTTGATTGAAAATGCACAAACACTGACATTTTATATCAACTCTTTTCACTGCGTATTGCACTGGATGTTTGGTGCATTCTTGCACAGTAGCCGTGTGTGTGGTCATCCCTTTGTAGTGAATAGGATGATACTTATCGATCAGAGTTGACATGCTGGTAATCAAGAGGCAGTATAAATGAGCGTATTACGGTGTTCGTCCTTTGGGCATGTAAGAAAGCTAGGATCGTGGGTTCGAATCCCTGTTCGCCACGATTCTGTTTTTACGTCTGTCAGCACCATACCCGTGGTAGACATCGGCGACCTGCATAATTTCGGGATTTCCTCCCACATCAAGCTGGCACTCCATCATAAACATTCAACAATGTTCAAAGCGATTGGTATATACTTGATAAGGTCACAATATAGCTGAAATAATGCCAACGCGACTTAATTAAACTCACTCACTCATTCAACGCTCATATAGTAATAGCTGAAAGGATTTCCGTTGAATTGATAATAACATATTTATGCAAATGAACCTTCACTAGCTGTTGCGGTATTCTGCTGGAAGGGTTTGGCTGGCTAATATCTGGAACTGTAGGTGTCAGTAATGCCACGATGTCGTTCAGTGCAAACTGATGTGCTCACCCTTCTGTCAGTGACTCACCTCGGTATGTGTTATCCAGGGAACGTTTGCACTGAACGACAAATATCGTACACGTTTCAGTTTAAAACCTGTCAACAAAGGACAGTAAAAGAACTAGATGAACACAGATAGAGATTTAAAACTAACATGTAATCAAAATATATTATATTAATAATATGTAATAATACAATGTAAAAACGGGCTATAGATCGCTAGCAACTGAAGGTAGATCACCATACTAGGTACCATGGGGACTTTTGCTTCCTGCATGGACCCAAGCTGGATTTCCACCATCCCTTCAGCCGTTGGAGATTGTACTCCGATTAGCCAAACAATAATAGAACACATGAGCGTAGAAACAATAACCCGATCGGATATTGGTTTCAGACGTATTAAATTTTGTAATTAGGGCTGACTTTGGATATTGATTCTACTATATCTAGCTTCAGGTAGCTGTTTTGTTGAAGCTATTTCATTTTCCTTCAGTTACTAAAAAACCGCTGTACTGAGCAGCACCACCTACCATTGTTATCATCTTTATCGCTAGAATACTGAAAAAGACGGAGTTAAACCATACCCACTCACTCACTCATCCGATATTTTATTCGATTATTGCACTTGATCAACCTACCACGCTAATTGGTTTTAACGAAATGTCAGAAATCAGTAAACTGCGATTCTTACTACTGCATATTTTTTCACGGCGGCCTTGGAAGGAACTTGCCCACGCATTGTCTGGCATGAAGTAGCAGGAAGTAATATTTCCAAGCCCTGCTCACTCGCTCTTCCATTCATACGACTAAATATGCAGTGGAGCCATGCCAAAACATATAGACATTTGGAGAACGCAAAGCATTTGTGTGTCTGCCATCTAATATTTGCTCATATTTTATTAGTGAGAGTGGTTTCCGGGATTTCGACTAAATACCTAAGGGAGCATGGACAGTGGATGCCCCATCCTCATGGTAAACTATTTGCTTTCAAAACAACAGGCTTGTAAATCACCTGCAACATAACCCATGGACATTGCAGCACAATAATGACCCAGCATGAGGAGCTGCGACAAACACCATTAAGTGTAAAGTGTGATCGTGACTAGTTGCAGCTCCAGCCCCCACATATTAAGTGCGTGGACTATTGATTGGACAGTTCTAAATCTCCAGGAATATGATCTGACTGTTATCACGTGTAATGAACTCTATATCATCGGGTCGGAAGTATTTTCATTGACACTGAGGATATGTTAACCGCCTTGTTCTCCGACGGCTGGTATATTATGCTAATGTCTAGAAGGAACCCTCTTTACTTATGTAAAAGCAAGGGGATATTTGATTGTAAGAGCGGACAGGACTATGGGTGACGGTAGAAGATTAGATTGGATATGGAGAAGGGGTTCAGATGATTTGGTTTAGTCCCGATTTTGACAGTCCCAATTTTGACAGTGAAAATTCACACTTCAGTAATTGATCTAGCCAGTTGTCCCAATTTTGACAGTGAGCTTACCTGTCGTCCCAAGTTTGACAGCCCTCGGTCCATGTTAATTAGTCCCTGATTATCCAGTGATTGTGGTAGCTACTGTAACAGAAGCTTCGGTTACGACTAAAACATCACACTTCAACGGATCAGTGACCCAGACGCTGTCAACACTGAGATACTACCGATGATTTGTAGGTAAACCTAAAAGGGAATTTTGATTTGGAAGAGGGAAATCAAATAGACAGAGCCCTTAATGATCATAAGAAATCTCTGCTCAATTTGCCAAAATGGGATCCATTTCCATCTTCAAAATTCGTTGTTGAAACTACAGATAGGGTTTAGTTATTGTAGTTATTGAACCAAAACTTAGGAATGGTTTGCACTGGGGAGCAACCAGTCATACTTGAATGTACATTGACAATGTAGGTCATATGTTTACGGAGTTTAAATATATCCACCGAGCTGTCAAAACTGACCTGACTATATATTCTGTATACAATGCAGTATTATCATTTTAAATATGATAATAACAATGCGTATGATATATAAATATAATATAATATTATATGAATTCTACCTTTTCTAACTAATCATTCTCTATTGATTTTTCACATCTGTATCCACAACCTCTTTTCATCTGACAACAGATCCGATGTCCTGATAGAAATCAATAAAGTGCTGACAATTTTTACAGGAAGCAGAGGAGCCGGGAAAACCCATCGCTAGGCGAGATTTCACGATGTTTGTACAGCTGAGGATCTGTTGTCAAGAGCCAGGTATCCTTATATGGCAAAGAAACTACCAGGTAGTTGGATGAATGAATGGCCAAGTAGAAGCCTAGTGCAAACAAACAAGTGTTCGATAGATGTGTCCTTGCGACTTATTACGTTGAACATTGACATGATTCCAATTTACGTTATTTCGCAAGGCTATGCTAAATATCTGTAATGCGTGGCCTTGTTTACACAAAAATATTGAAATCGCATTTGTAAAACGTGGCTTGTGATCATAATTAACAATGTTTTGTTCCCGAAATTGAATTTTAGACATTGAATATTCAGCGAGAAGACGTCCTGGCTTCAGAGTTCAAAGTCTCAGCTGTCGCACAAAGGATAGCATATGCCCATGTGTGATGGTGGCGATAAATGAAATAAACAAGAAATGGATGTTGGATAATTATGTGTTTCATATTGTATCATAGGCGATTCTGTTTTCGTTCTTCATCAACGAACTATCGCTACAAATATACGAAAACTGTAACGAGGGCATCCAATTACATCCAGAAACTATGAATATTTTTCTACTCCTTTTTGCTGATGATATTGTTATGTTCGCAAGCACAGTATCTGAACTTCAAAAGCTAATAAATCAACTTAAGTACTACTGTGAACAATGGAAACTGAATGTCAATATCGATAAGACAAAGGTCATAGTTTTCAAAGAAAAAACGGGAAATTAGCAAAACGGGAAAAATGGTTTTAAGGTGAAAAGTTGGAGGTTGTAAGAAGTTACAAATACTTGGGTGTACTTTTTACAAATCGACTAACTTGGTCATTGCCCTGCAACAAAGCCGCACTACATGCTAAAAAGATTTTAATAGGCATTTTAAGAACCATAAGACCGCTCCCAAATATTAGCTTTGACACGCTTTTCAAAATCTTTGACACTAAGAATTGTCCTATTCGACTGTATGGTGCAGAAGTATGGGGGTCAAGAAATCTATGACACATTAGAGAAGGTACATCTATATGCGTGCAAAGATTTTTAGGAGTAAACACCCCAAATGTTACAGTTTATGGGGAATGTGGGAGATACCCTATGTATATATTTAGTTACATAAAAGTAATAAAATATTGGATAAGATTGCTTAAAATGCCAAGCACCAGATTCCCCCAAAAATGTTATAACATGGTGATGCTTTACGATGATAGAGGTAAAAATAACTGAACCTCTGGTGTCAGAAAGATACCTCAGTCTTGCGGCTATGATTATATCTGGAGAGAACAAAATGTAACAGCACCAGAGCATTTTATATATGATTTAACACAAAGGCTAAAAGATATGTATTTTCAAAAGTGGCATTTTTCACTACGTTTACACATTAAGTTAAACCATTATTTCTGTTTTAAAGCA